AAAAAAAACTTTCTACATAGCCCAACCCGTGACTCTGTGTTTGCACCAATTAGCACGTGGAAATGAAGCCAAAAAGAAAAATGATTAGGAATTCGTGTAAGCGCTATACTACATGAAGCTACATTAAGTTTCAAAAATCTGCAATCTATAAAAACACCATTCTGCAGAGATGCAAGGCCTAATTCAAATCCACCGGTACAGGATGATCAGGAATCAGGGAAGTGAAGAATGATGTGATAAACGAATAGCATGTTGCGAAGAACACTTGAATATTTGACGGCGTTTCGGCAGGTTGTGCAGGGGCCTAAAAAATTACGTATTTTCGTGTGCAAAAAGGCAAAAATCTATAAAATACCTGTTCTGTGCCATCTTGATTTTGTTCCCCAGCATTGTTATTATTTACATTAGGCTGGGGAGGTGCAGCCATTCGTGCCTGTCTATTATAATTCCTTCTCAGCTGAATGAAGAACATGAACAAGGCGATCGTAACGACAACAAGAAAGCGTTCCAGTGACGAATAAAGCATGACTGCCTGCAAAAAAAACAGAATGAAGCTCTGTAATATTTTGACTTCGTTCATGAAACCTACCGAAAGAAGCAGGACTACCCTAAAAACCTTGTACATGATATCCAAAGCATCTCCCCGTTCTCCTCCTGGAACCGCTTGAGCAATATTAGCTTCAGCTGGCATCTGAAACGGATACACGTAGTGACTCAATCATAGATCATTACAAATCTCTTACTTGCTCCGCAGCTCCCACATTTCCATTAGGCTGATTAGGCACGATATTAACAGGCGCCTGTTGCCCGTTCCCAGCAGTACCTGCTTGGATAGAAGCAGCTGGTATTTGCTGAGCTGCAGATGCTGCGAACATAGATGGACTGTATCCCATTTGCCCCATCATGAAGAACTGATATTGCTGCCATCTAGAAAAAAAAAGTAATTGACAAAATAACTCAAACTTCTTGGTAAAGGACTTACTGGTTGATATACGCTGCATAATAGTTAGAATACTGTTGTAATCGCGCCATCTGTTCAGGACTGGATGAGCCATAGAAATGCTGATACCATTCCTGATAACTTGTATTCGATGGAGAAAAGCTAGCATTACGTTCGGCTGACACTGGTGCAGTCGGAGGATATCTG